ACCACCACCCGAATTTCAGTTTGAAAGGAGCAGCACTGAAACCCCCTCAGGGCTCCAGTGGGGGCTGTTTGCCGACTGATCCATCCTTAACTCCCCATGGATGTGAATTCCAGCCTGGGATTCCTCCTCTGGACACCTGGTGGGTGCTGGAGACCTGTTGGGTCCCACAGGAGGGGAGGGGGATGTGTTTAAACCATGGACACACACAGCCAGGGCCTGGGTGAGCCCATTCCAGGCGGGATCACTCCTGAGCCTTACGGGACAACTCCAGGGCAGCCCTGGGGTGTCCTTGGCTCACTCTGACAGTCCACACCACTGTAATTAGCTGAGCAGGTTAATTAACACTGGGGTGAGATGGAGCACCCCAAAATCCACCGGTTCTCTGGGAATACAGTGGCTAAAACCAGCAGTGCCATGGGAATGATGTCCCAGTGCCGTGTCAGTACAAACCCTCCCGTGGGATGAGCTCCACAGCCACTGGAATGACTTGGCTGGGGGGTCCCTTCCCAAGATTTTGAGGCCTGAGTTAGAAACAGTGCTCTGGAAAAGCAGCTGCCACAGAGTAGTGAGGAATCACCCAAAACCCCACCCTGTTCCAGGGGGTGTTTTAAGCAGCCACAGGGGAGCCACATCCATCACCTCGGCCTTGTCTTACTCCCGATTATTTCCTGGAGCGGGGATGCCGCGCTCAGAAGGGATCCCTCTGGAATCCCCCTGGATTCCCCAGGCTATTCCCAGCCCTGAGCGTGCCTGGGGAGACCCACACCACTCTGATTACACCATTCCAGGGCTGAGGGACACCCCGGCCAAGGACACCCTGCTGCGCCCTGTCACCCACACTGTGACCTGTCACCCACGTTCCTGCATCCGCTGGACGTCGGCACACGGAGCATTTCCCACGGATTAGCTGCAGCTCAGCTCCCTGGCAGGAAAAGAGATCCCAGTGGGATGCAGCTCGGAGTTTCTACGGGGGTTTCCTGCGTGTTCACGGGTTGGTTGAAGCCGTGCAGGACTGTTTGGATTTTGGGAAGACTTATAAGGGAAAAAAAAGCCTCGCTCCCGCCTCCCACCAGGCTCTGGGAAGCGGGAATTAAAGCCTAAAAAAGGCATTTTGGTATTGTCTGTCCACAGAGAATGAAACATCCCAGGGTGGTGTCAGCTCTGGCTGCAAGGAGGGGAATGGAGGCGGAACATCCTGGGATGTCACAGCACCGGAATCTCACGGGAGCAGAACATCCCCTCAGTTCCGAGCATGACACGACTTCCTAAGGGGTTTGGTATTTGCAGAATCATGAAATCATGGAATTGCTGAGCTTGAGAAGCCCTCTAAGACCATCAAATCCAAGAGTTCCCCCAGCACTGCCAAGGCCACCACTAATCCATGTCCCCAGGGGCCACATCCACACGGCTTTTAAATCCCTGCAGGGATGGCGACTCCACCACTGCCCTGGGCATCCTTTTCCAGCGCCTGACCACCCCTTCCATGAAGAAATTTTCCCTCATATCCAACTTAAACCTCCCCTGGCACAGCTTGGGGCCATTCCCTCTTGTCCTGTTGTTCCCTGGGAGCAGAGCTCGACTCCCCCTGGCTCCCCTGTCCTGTCAGGGGGTTGCAGAGCCAGAAGGTCCCCCCTGAGCCTCCTTTTCTCCAGGTTGAGCCCCCCCAGCTCCCTTGGCCTCCTCCCATCCCACTGGAACTCCCAGCTTCCTGGCAGTATTTCACCTCCTGGACACTTTCTCCCCAGCTAATCCCTTCTTTTCCCTCTTTCTGCAGCTGTGGCAGCACCGGAATACCCCAAATCCTGCTTTTTAAAAAATATTTTGTGGGGTTTTTTGTGCATCCCCCTGGCTTGAGACCTCCCCCTGCTGCTCCCTCTCCAGGGCAGGGCACCTCTGGCCGGGCTGAACGACCAGTGACTTCCAAGAGTTTTTTGGGAGCATGAAACCAAACCCCTGGGCATGAGGAGAATCCGGGAAGCCTTTGCACTATGTGAACTTTGCAGGGTCGGGAACAGCCGGTGCTATAGGATTTCCATACATCCTCTCACCCCGGTGAGGGAGCAGCTCCGTGCCAGCGGATCAAATGGCCACGGCTCCAGCTGAATCCGCACCCCCAAGTCTCCCCCGGAGCCCTGGGATGGAGGATCCAGAGGGAGGATGGTGATTCCAAGCCCCCAGCCAGGCTCTGGTGTTGCCCACCAGGGTCAGATCCCTGCTCCAGCCCAGGGGATGTGTGCCCGGGGACGTGGCACAGCCCCGGGACACCGGGACAGCCCCGGTCACGCCGTCACCCCCGGGAGCCAAGTGCCCTGGCATGGAAAACCAGGGCGGATCAAATTCCCAGCAGGTCCACGTGGCCCACGGGTTGGGATGAAACCTACACCCGTGGGGACGTCAGCAAGGGACAGGGACACGGGACACGGTCCCTGCAGACCCCCAGGGAGTGACAGATAAATCCTAAATGGAGCAAAGCCCCTGGGCCCGGAGCTGAGCCGGGGGTGAAGCCACCACTGCCCCCCCGGCCCAGCGTGGCCAGCCAGGGGGACGCCTGCCAGCCATCCCTGGGATTTGCTGGTGATTCCCCCCCGATCAAATTCAGCTGCATCTTGGCTCCGGGGCCACGGGCAGCCGGAAAGCCCCCGGTGATCCCAGAGGAAAAGCCCCTCCCAGAGGAAAAGCCCCTCCCTGGCTCTGGCACCACAGAAGGTTTGTGAACCTTGTCCCCTCTGTCCCCAGGAGGGGAGGGGAGAAGGGAGGGGTCTGGCCCATGCTGGGCTCACAGCCCAGCCACCGGCTGCTCTTCCCACTTGCCAGTGATGGCACAACCCATCAGCCCTTCCCAGGGGATAATTCCCTACTCACTCCACTCCCACACCATATGGGATCTGGCTGGTCCCCTACAAAAGGAAGATCCCTTGGGAAAAGTGCTGGGACACCACAGAAACCCCGAGACCCTCCCCACATCCAGGGGCCTTCCCCGAGCCCCAAATCCCACAGATCTTCTCCAATTCCACAAAACATCCCTCAACCTTCCCTGACCACCCCAGACCTGCACTGGGGTCCAGGCAAGAGGGGACCCTTGCCTGGCTCACCTGTCACTGCTGGGGCTGATAAGGCAAAAAACCCACCTTTTTCCTCCCAGATTTAGGAAATCCCTCTGGGATGGGAGCGCAGCAGAGGGGTTGTCACCCCACAGAACGTCCCTGCCCCTCTCCCATGGCAGGAGCCAAGGCAGCCACCCCGTTACACAGACACCTTTATTCTGGTCAGAGTGAAGGCTGGGCTGGGGGGGGAGCACCCCGGGGGGCACAGGGGTCACCCAGGGGGCACAGGGGTCACCCAGGGGGCCACACAGGGATCAGTGCTTGGTCCCAGCCCCTGCGTGGCTGCTGCCGGAGTGTAGAGGGGGGGTCTGCCCACCAAACCCCCCCCCAGGGCACTGGGGCAGCTCGGGGACCCACGTGGGACAAGGAGTGTCCCCAAGTGTGAAGGGAGTGATGAGGAGAAGTGTCCTCAAGCGTGGTGGGAGTGATGAGAAGTGTCCCCAAGTGTGGTGGGAATGATGATGAGGAGAATTGTCCCCAAGCACGGTGGGAGTGATGAGAAGTGTCCCCAAGTGTGGTGGGAGTGATGAGAAGTGTCCCTAAGCACAGTGGGAGTGTTGAGAAGTGTCCCTAAGCAGTGTGGGAGTGTTGAGAAGTGTCCCCAAGCACGGTGGGAGTGATGAGGAGTGTCCCCAAGCACGGTGGGAGTGATGAGAAGTGTCCCCAAGCACAGTGGGAGTGATGAGAAGTGTCCCTAAGCACAGTGGGAGCGATGAGGAGCACGGGGCGACGAGCCAAGCAGGAGCCACAACGCAGGAAGCCAAACCCCAGGGGAGCACATCCCCGGCCCCCCGAGGTGGGGGCTCCAGGGAGGCACAACCCCCACACACCCCCCCAGAGCCGGGGAACACTGACCGGAGGCTCCTGGGCGCGCGGGGCGTCGGGAAGGGCCGGAGCCGCCCGGCTTTAGCGGATGCTGCCGTCGCCCTCGCCGCTCTGCTTCTCCTGCTCGATGGACCACACCAGCTCCTCCACAAACTTCATCTCCGAGGCCACCTGCTTGGCCAGGGCCTCGTAGTGGTTCTCCAGCTTGCGGTAGCGCCGCTTGAGGCCGTTGGCCGCCTGCACCACGCTCTTGGTCTCCTCCTGCGCCTGCTTCTTCAGCGCCTCCGTCTTCTGCAGCTCCTGCCGGATCTGCCGCAGGTCCTGGCTGATGCTCTCGTTCTCCTCCTTGTACCACGACTCCTTCTCCTCGTAGATGGAGCGCAGCGCCTCGATGTCCTCCTGGAAGGACTTCTTGTTCCTCTCCAGCTCCCGCAGGGTCTCCTCGGCCGCGGCCACCTCCTCCATGACCTTGGAGAAGCGCTCGAAGTTGATGTAGGTGTTGTTGGGGGGCATGCTGGAGTGGGACTTGATGGTGTACTCCTTGAGGCGCGTGGTCTTCAGCCGGCGCCGCTCGGGCTTCTTGCAGCTGTCCTCGTTCCGGACGTTCCTCCTCTTGATCACCTGTGGGAGGGACGGTCATGGGGTGGGACACAGCAGGGAAAGCAGGAGCTGGGTGGCCCCGGCACCCACCCACGGAGCGCCGGCAGCGGCACC